TCACCTGGTCCCAGTTTCTACCCTGTTGTTTAAAAAGCTTCCTGATACCATTTTCCAAAGCAACCTCCCTATTTGGGACTCCTTCTCCCGTCACCTGGACAACCCCAGTAGCCACCTAATGGCCCCCGCAGCCCCAGCTTAGCCCATTCGCCCCACAGCTACTTTCTCCCCTCGCCTGATGTCAGTCGGTTCCCCTCTGCTCTAAACCCTCTCCTGAGCGCTGCCCCTGGCCCCCAGCCTGGACTCCCAGCTTGCCTTTGGACCCTCCAACAGTCACTCCCACTGGCTTTCCAGTATCATCTCCCAGTCCTGCAGCCTCTCTGGCCTTCTTGACTCTCCCCTAAATGCCCTAACCCATCCCGCCCCTGCTTTCTCTGGGTGGTTGCCCCGCTTGTCAGGCTCTCCTGCTGAGCCTTATCTTTCCCTCGAGGCTACTACAGTGCCATATCCTCTCTGAGAAGCCTCCTCTGAACACCTCTGCAGGCCACAGCATGGCGTGATGGAATCACGGATTTCGCCCCTGCCAAGCTCACTTATGTATTTATTGAAGTACCAGACTGTCCCCCTCTGATGTAAACTCCTCGGTGACATGGGCCACAAGTTTGAATCTTCAGCAGCATCGCTGCTGACAGGGTATCAGGAGGCGTGGGCCCGTATGCATGCTTCACATCCACGATTCCATTTAATTCTCCCCTCGATCTTCTGAGGGGTCAGGGATTCTGATCACCACTTTATAGATAAGGACACTGCACCACAGTTCACGTGCCGGGGGCCTAGCCCGGTGCCAGAGGAGGTGAGTGTGGGGCGGCAATGACAGCGGTGGGCTGGGTTTCTGCCAGTCCACTGGCTTCTCTGCCCCTGCCTCTGTCTCCTCACTCAGCCCTTTGTTTTCTGCCACGTAAACCTTCCCAAAGCTCCATCTAGGTCTACCTACAAGCTTAGAACGTTTCTCCTCTCCCCGCTTCCTACCCAAGTTTCCCCCTCCCAGCTGCAGCCTCTCTTCCAGGGAGTCCTCCAGGAGCGCACTGGCCTCCTCACTCCCATGGTAATTGGCATCCAAGACCACATTTTGTTAACGCCTATTATGTGCTGTGGGCCTAATATGCACTAGACATGTTTTGATATGCTATATAATTAGTCTTCTCAACAAGCCAGTGAGGATCGTCCCACCCGAGTCTACAGACAAGGAAACTGAAGCCCAGAGAGGTCAATAAGTTTTCCCAAGGCCACAGAGTCAGCAAGTAGCAGAGGCAGGATCTGAACCCCTGCAGGCCCTGAGTTATCTCCCCTGCAGTCCTTGGCACTTGGCTGATCACCGTCAGTTTCCCAGCCAGAGAACCGGCTCTCTGAGAGCTGAGTCCCGTGCGTCTCTGGTGTCTGCCCACCCGTGTTCCTGCGTTCGGCCTGCTCCTGAGCCCAGGCAGTGCCCTATGGAGACAGTCTGAGTTCCAGGTCTGAGAGCAGGAAGGGCCCTGACCCCTAGCAGGGGTAGAAGCCTTCTACTCAGGGCCAGGAGCTCCAGAATGCCCACCCCACCCTGTACCAATCTTGCTAATTTGACCCATCTCCCAAAGGTGGCCAGTGCCCCCTCCCCACACCCCCTCCCCGGCCCCTCTTGGGTAGGACAGAGGGCCTTTCAGCCTTGGCTGCCACCGTGACCACCTTCTTGGGAGGGGCTGTTTTTCTAAACTTTTGAACCTGAGGTGGAGGCAGACCGCAGGCGTGGAGGGGACCTGGGCCTGTGTGATGGGATGTCACTGTGACTACCGTGTGGTATGTGTCCCTGCCCCGGCTGGCCACAGGATAATTGCAGCCTTTCAAGATGGAAGGGACTCTTGGTGTAAACGTAGCTAGCTAATTAGCAGCACGTGTGTGTGTGTGTGTGTGTGTGTGTGTGTGTGTGTGTATGTGTGTGCGCGCGCGCGTACACCTTGTGAATCTGCAGCCACTCCCACCCCTGCCCAGGGGCCTCTTTGCCTTCACTGCTCAGACTCACTCCGTTTTCCAGCAGAAGGCCCCCCAGTACCCCCCTCCCAGCCTGATTAGTTTTATAGAGCGTTTCAGCCTTCTTTCTCTGGTTCCCTCTGTCCCTCAGTGACATTCCAAGCCCCAACTTACCTCATTCTGCCTAGGGAAGAACAGCATCTGGGGAACTCTGAATTCAGGGCCTGATTCCTGGCTCTGAGGCACTCTGTACCTCAGTTTCCCCTTTGGGAGTCTCCAACAAGGGGTGGGGGGCAAGCCAAAGTGTATAGCGTCACTAGAAAGCTGAGACTAAGGCACCGAGCTGCTGTCTTCCCTTCCCCCACTGCAAACCAGATTCCTCATTCATAATGCTTCATCTGTTAGCCTCTGAGTCCCTGAGTCTCAGTTTCCTCATCTGTCAAATGGGGATAATAACAATATCTAACTCAGAGCTGTTGTGAGGATTACATAGAATATAGGGCTTCTAGAATAGTGTGTGGTATGCGATAAGAACGTTAAATGTTAGTAATTATGGTTACCATTAAAAACCTTTACTGAGCCCTTTGTGGTGCGCAGTGTACTAGGCTCCAGAGGCGTCATCTCTCCAGATCCCGCTCATCTCTCTTCTTCTATTTCTGCTCAGGGTGCTTCATACGTCACAAGTTGGAGGGGGTCTGGAAGCTCCCAAACAGCAAGAGGAACCCTTTTCTGCCCTAGGCTAGAGACTGCTCTCGGGGACGTGGGGTTGTAGGGCCGTGGTTGTCACAGGAAGTTGAGCGCCCTCTCCCCACACCCCCACCTCCCATCCTCCCCTGGAGGGCAAGTTTGCCCAAAGAGGAGCAGAAGCTCGGCTTTGTCTGAAGCGCCCTCTGCTGGCCATCGGCGAAGGCCTTGGTCAAGGGCAGCGAGTTAAAGAGAAGGTTGGGAGAGAGTAGAGCCTTCTGAATGTGAAGGGAAGGGGACTTCTGCCCGATGCAGAGCCCACAGTGCCACCTTCTCACCCTCAAAATGCCTGGCTTGGAGTATTTTTTTTTTTTTTTAAACCAGCCTGAGAACAGTTTCCAAAGACAGCTTCTCTCTCCCCTGGTAAATGCTGAAATAGACCAGGGCAAGCAGCCAGCCAGAGCTAACCACCTGCCCCGCACAGGACAGTAGGAAGGAGAGCAGCTAGACAGCATGCAGAACTTCCTGACAGCAAAACATGATTGGGGGCGGGACGTGGGAGGCGGTGCTTATTTAGAAGAAGGTAAGGGGAGGAGTGTCCCGCGTGGGATCTGTCAGATCAGAAAGGAAATAATTGTTGAGTCTGTACTCAGCAGATAGAGGCCCACAGCAGCCTCCTGTTTCTCATATTGTAAGACCTTCTTCTCTGCCAACACCTGGGCTAGATCTTCACCCCATGTCCAAATGTACTGACCAGACATTTGCCGGATCCCTGTGGGAAGGAATCAAAAAAATGGACTCAAGTTTGAAGCAGGAGTTAGATCACTGGAAGGACTGTCCTGGAAGTGAGGCTGGGTGTATCCTTGTCCCTCTAGAGTCTCCCATGTGGGAAGGATGCTCCCAGGGCCAGCCTAGAAAACAAATCTTCTTCCGTGGGTGGAGTAGGGAGTTTGGCAGCCAACACCTCTGGATTTTCTAGAAGGCTGGTGGGATCCAAGGGGAAGGGGGGGAGGGGAAGCGGCGGCTGCAGTGAAGCTGAGGGTAACTGCTTTATTGCGTTGTGGAGAATGCCGTTATCCACACCAATTATAGTTCTACCGTACAGAACCCTGGCGGCCTCCACGGAGGGCGAGGTGGGGCAGATTACTATATTATCAGTGCCACTTGCTCATAGCGTCTGGTGGGCGAGCTGGTGGGTGGAGGGTGGGGATTCTGAGCCCCCAGGATGAGCTCCCCTGGCCTGACCCAGTCGGGCCCCTCCTGAGATGCCCTCTGAAAGGAGGGACAGGGGATTCACCCTGGGCTCTCCAACAGTGTCCAGAGGATTAGAGCAGGGGGAGGAGGCAGGGTGGACAGAAAGTGGGGAGAGTGAGACAGGACACAGATGATGGCTGAAAGGAGTAGGAAAGGCCTGAGACCCATAAGTCAGCGGAGACTCCATCTCCAGCTCCTGCTGGCTCTTTTCTGCTCTACTTCCCTCAAGCTTGGCTTTCGGAAAGTTCCAGCAGTTTGGCGATGTGTGGGGTTACTGATTCCAGTTCTGCTGCTTTCTCAACGGTCTTCCCCCCTCTCTCCGCACTTCCATCAAGTACACACACTCCTTCCTGCGCCCTGCTCTGGAGGAGGGAGTGTCTGGAAGGTGAACACAGTGCGGGGAATAGGGAACTGGCCGATAACCCAGTAACGGCACTGGGGTCTGAGGAAGGCGGAGGGGGCTCCCTTGTTGGGGTGGGGCAGCAGATGGGGAGCCAGGACTTAATGTGGGCCGGTGTGGTGGTGCCCCCCACCCCACCCCTTTAACAGCCTGCACCTTTTCCTCCCCCAGCTGTCGGGGTCCAGACTGCATGGGCTAGAATAACCTTTTTCGACCTGAGCCCACCAGTGTATGACACTGCACACAGGGGTGGGCGAGCATTTCAATGCCACACACACACACCTATCCAGGTAGCCCCCAGGAAGACACCGGTGATGGGCCCAGAGGACACCTGGGCATGCGGTCCTGCAGCAGGAACCCTCTCCATCCCCAGAGGAAATCTACTCCCTGATGAAAAACATCCAGGCCAGGAACCTGGATTTCAAACCCACGAAGGAACCGGGGCAAGGAGCTGTGACTTTGAGAGAGAACAGGAGAAAGATGGAGAGACCTGGTTTGAAATTTCCGAGAATGCTAAGATGACGGGTGGAAAAGGGGGCCAGGCGGAGCAGAGAGGAGCCAGAGCCCTGGCTGGGATGAACGTGGAGGTGCCGGTGCCCGGGGCTCAAGCCCACTCCCGTACTTGCAGGAAGTGCCCTTTCAGGAGCCCCCAGCTGTCCAGAGCCATCCTTGTGCTTTCACGCCCCTGCCCTCCCTCCCCTTGCTGACACACGCAGGGCCCTGTGAATAGAGGACGTTTAATATTTCTGTGCTGGTCAAACAGAACACAGGTGGGGAGTACATAGGGGAGGGGGCGGAGGGCCCCCTGCCTCTTGGGAGGGGTGGCTTGTGAAGGGGTGTATGTGGGGGGTTTCTTGGGAAATAGTCCAAGGAGTCTTCTCAGCAAAGGGGCCTGGCCTGGGGTGTGACAAGCATCAAATACACCCAGTCCTTGGCCTTAAGTTGGGGTCCCCCATAGGGGGTCTGTGGAGAGTCTCACTTTTTTTTCCAGCTCCTTCGCTGGAATCCACACTCCCAGTGTGATGGGGGACTTGGTCCTGGAGAGAGGGGTCTGGAGAGCCCCCAGTAAGCAGCCCAGGGTTGGGAAGAGGGCTCCCGTGCCCACCGCCCAAGGGGCCGAGCACCCCGCGGGGTGCCGAGGGCTGCCCATCTCCTCCCCTCTGCCTGCTTTCCTTCCCCCGGGCTGGGCAAGAGCAGAGGGGAGGTGAGCAGGGCCGCCAACCTCTACTGAGTCCCAGGGTCCTCAGGGTGGGGTGGAGGGAGGGTGGAGAGAGAGGGTCTTGGCCACCAACAGACACTGTAAACTTTGGTTTAAAACAATAACTTAAGTTGGGGAGGGCTTCCAGCCTGGGGCCGGGATGGGAAGCGGGATGAGCAGGGGGTATGGGAGGCGACAAAGGAAAAAGCCAACAAAAAAGTTTTGGTTTTTGCTTCCGGCATAAGAAAGGTCTTTGGTCATCTGTGTAACTGGGGGGTGGGGGCGCAGGGAAGGGGTGCTGAGGGCGGGTGAGGGAAGTCTGCGATGGGGCACCTGAAGGCTGGGGTGGGAGTGACCTGCCGGGTCACAGCAGCCACCGTGTTCATCCCACCCGCCCCTCAAGCCTGCTTTCAGCCTGGCCTTTCCCTGGACACAGGCAGGTGCTTCCCGCAGTCCTGGCACCCCGTGGGGCCCCAACTCCAGCCTCAAGGGCAGCTCAGCCGCCTTCAGCGGGTCCACCTCTACGAGTGCACCGGGCACAGGCCTCTGTGGAGGAGGTGGGCACCGGGCCACTTTCCTATGCTCCCTGGCCTGGGGGGCAGCACCCAGCAAATGGGAGTGGAGGCCCAGTTCGGCCTGGGGGGGGACCTGGAACCAGGCAGCCCTACTCCCACGGATCCCCCCAGGGCACTCCACTTGTTCCCCCCTCACCAGCTGTGGCTCTTGATCGGGCACAGCTGAGGGGCAGGTTTTTTCTGGGGCTGCTCTGAGACTTTAGCTGCCCCCAGCCCAGGCCAGGGCAGGGGTAGGAGCGGGGGTGGAGCTACTTCTTCACAGTCAGGACAAGAAGGTGGAAGGGAGCACAAATTAGGGAAACGGGGGCCTCTGGCCAGAGAGTACTGCCAGAACAAGATGGGGGGGCCCTGGGTGTGAGAGGGTGGCTCAGCCCCGCCTGCGGGTCTCCATGGCACTGAGGGGCCCTGCGGGGGGCGAGCTGGTGGGGGAGGAGGGCCCTGCTGCTGCTGCTGGTGGTTGGGGGGCGGGGAGGCGGGGTTCGGATGTGGGCGGGGGAGTCTGAGGAGGGGTCTGGGCCCTCCGTGTCCTCTGCCAGTCCCAGACCAGGGGTTCTGTGTCCCCTAGGGGGCGGCCGGTCCCTGCCCCACCCCACTCCGAGCGAGCGTCGTCGTAGGTCAGGTCACCTTGGGAGTTGCTGGCCCAGCCCCCCATCTGAGTCCTGGAAGTGCCTTGAGGTTGGGCGGGGCGAGGAGTCGGGGTAGGTGGGGCCTGGCTTCCGGGGGAGGGAGGGGTCTCACCCCTGCCCTGCCTGCCCCTAGAGGCCCTTAGGACAGTTCCTCTCCCGGCAGCTCCTCCTCCAGGTCCCTGTCTTCTGGAGGCCCCGAGGTGCTGGGGTTAGGGGGCCCCAGGGGGGGTCCCGGCCGCCTGTCTTCCTCCGCCTCAGCTGGCTCCTCTTTCACCTGCACCTGGTGGCTGTGACAGAAGGGATAATGTGGACACCCTGGAGGTCCTCTCCTGCCGGCCCAGCCCCAAACGCATCCAGGATCTGGGGGCGCAGGGATGTGTCCAGAGTTTGCCTCCCCAGGACCCCCTCATCTCTGAGCCGCTGGGGCCTGACGTCTCAGGTCTGGTCTCCCTTCAAAGGAAAGGAGGTCTTGGGATGGACAGAGATTGCTTATGGTTGGGAAGGAGAGAGGAAGGGAGATGACAGAGGATGGAGAAGGGAGGGAAATAAAGAGTGTGGGGGGGGCGCGGGGGCGGGGAGGGGAGCAATGAGAAGGAAGAGAGGGGCCACCTGCCCTGGGAAGAGAGCTGTGCTGAAGGCGACAAGATGGGGATCCCAGCTGCAGCGGGGAGAAGATTCTGCCTTCCTAATGTTTGCGGGGAGCACGGCGGTGGGCTGGGGTCCATGCCATGGGCTCACCTGTACTGGGGTGGGGAGAGGCGAGCGGGGCTGCTGCTGCCGTTGCTGGGCAGCGGCTCCATGGGGGCGCCCATGTCGTCATGGCTGAGGGGCAGGAGGTTGCTGGCGGAGCCAGGGTTCAGCATGCCAGGGCTGTTGAGGAGGGGGAAGCTGCTCTCGGCCAGGGCAGCCTGGAGGGCACAGAGTTGGGGCCTGTCAGCGGGCTCCACCCAGTCAAGTACTGTCCCTTCCCCAGCCCTAGAGAGCCTCCCGTGTGTCCACGGGCTGCCAGATCTCTGGCACCCCCTCCCAAGGCCAGAGCTCCGAAGCTGAGCTGCCTCCCAGCTTTCCTGAGAACCTGGGCCTGACTTCTTCCCTTCCCGGGAGACAGAGGACCCCCACCCCCTGCCCCCGCTGCCACCCCAGATCTGTAAGCCAGGGAAGGGATCACCACTGGCTATGCCAACCTACCCGCTCTGTGCCCCGTCTCTGCCAGGGAGGGTGGGGGAATGTCTCTTCTGAAGACCAGTGTGCTGGAGGGAAAGTGAGGGGGTGGGAGGGCACTGGGCGGGGACCAGTCCACTACCTGGTAGCTGGCGTTAAGTGCTCCATAACTGAGGCCCGAAATCATGTTCTTCACCAGCGTGGGGCTCCTGGAGGAGAAAGAAGGCAGCGTCTGCTTCATTCATTCGCTTGTTCCCCACTCAGGTCTGGACCTAACTGAGGGCGTGCTCTGTGCCAGGGACTGTCCCATTCATTAATCCTGGGAGGCCAGAGTCGGCTGTGCCCCATCTTATTCAATCCTCCCACTGACCTGGCACATCTGGGACCGAAAGCCCTCTTCACAGGTGAGCTGCCGGGGCTCCTAGGGGCCCTGGAATGTGCCCAGGGTCTCAGGGCTGAGAAGTAGGACCCAGACCCCTCCCAGTGTCTGTCTCCACGTCAGGTGGCCCAGTATTTTCTCTCCAGTCTAGATTTCCCAATGTCTGGCAAGGTCCGAGTGATAACCTCCATCGTCCCCTACTATAAAATCCACTTTCTTGCCATCCTGAATTTTGGGACATCCAATAAGCTGTGTGCTCAGCCTGTCCCCACATGCTCCACACCAAAGGCTTTTCTGCACAAAAAAGTGTTTAGGAGTTGGGTCAGGAAAAGCAATGGCTTAAGGCCATCCTTCCACAGTGACTATCCCCAGTTTAGAGGGTGTCTCAGAGAGGTTAAGGAACTGGCCCAAGGTCACACAGCTGGTGAGAAGCAGAGGTGTAATTCGAGCCCAGGTCTTCTGATTCCAAGTTGATAAGGGGACAGGAAGATTCCAAGCATTGTGACTGGCACATGGGGGCACTCAGAACGGAATGGCTTTCCTTTTCAGGTCCCAACCCTGCCCCAGCACCCACAGCTGCCTGAGGGTAGAGGGGCTCTTGTCTGGGGTGAAGGAATCTTTGAGGGGCACAGGCACCCACAGAGAGCCATCTAACTTGCTTCAGAGGCCCAAGATGCGCAGGCAAGCCCATGTGGGGTGCTCGGCGTGGGGAGGTGGTGGCGCTGGAAGGGAGGCTGAAAGAGGAAACCTCCCCCAGATTCCTCAGTTTCCACTGAAGTGCTGCATGGTAGAGGTCAGAGACCCAGCTCTGCCAGGAATCTGCTGTGTGACCACCCTCCAGCCCCTTGTCCTCTCTGGGCCTCCTCTCCCTGTAAAATGAAGAGGCGGGGGGGCCTGGAGATCTCACAGACTGGCTCATCCAGCAATAAGATGGGGGAGAGTGGCCCTGGGGATGGCAGCCCCCTCCCCAACGGCCACACTGGCTGCCTTCTGCCCATGCCCCAGCTCCGGCCTGGGCTACTTTGGGCTTCTGTCTCTCTCTGGTGCCAGGTTCCCCTCAGCTCCTCCCCTCAGTCAGAAGCAAAAGACAGAAATGCCCTCTTCCTAATCATGTGTCACCTCCAGACCCCAGGCTCTCCTGGGCTCCTCCACCCCTTTCCTCCCCCACCCCCGGCCCCAGAGAGGTACCCTGGAGAGGGCTGGGGGGGGGCCCACGTACCCCGTCATCTTTGGTGGCCTCCGCTTCTGGTACTCCCGCTCGTCCACAGTCCACACGGCGCCCTTGACGTTCTCCACGCGCACGAAGCACTTGTGCAGGCTGAGGTTGTGTCGCACTGCATTCTGGGGGCGCAGCGACAAGAAGCAGACGCTCAGAGGTGGCCCCTCCTCCACTCGGGGGAGCACAGACAGGAGGGTCCTCAAGTCCCGCCTGGTCCCACCTTCCCCAGCAACAAGCAAGGGGAGGGCCGGGCAGGAGAAGATGCAGCCGGAGCCGAGGGAAGACCCCTCTGGGCCCTTGGAGCCAGGGGCTCCGGCATCCTCACCACCGCCAACCCACTGTATTGTCTGCTCCCTTCTCCCTGCCACGTTTTGGAAAACTCTGTCTACCAAGTGAATGATACCTCGTTAGCGATAATCTGTTTTCTCAACATCGTTAGTCAGATGCATGTAGCTGTTAGGGCTTCTGAGCGGCACGAGACCACACTCAGGTCCTGGCACCTCAGTGAGCCTGGGACATCTTACCTCAGGTGCACACAGAGTTCCCATTAAGCCTTTGAAAGTTTTGGGAATAACTCGGGAAGCCTCACTGCAACCTTCCTTGACCACCTTGGAGCGTGGGAGCCTTGACTTTGGGCTGTGGCTCAGAACAGACGGCTTACTGAGAGCATAAGGTATACAGTAGAGGCCTAATACATACCTGTTAACATAAGGAAGCTGAGAGAAAGGAGAGCCTGGGTTTAGTGACTGTACAGCAGGAAGAGGAGGGACAAGTCACCTTGTCGGTCCCGCCTCCTCCCAGCAGGATAACTTCAGGAATTGAGGTCATCCGGTTTGTAGGACACTTGGGTGGGGGCAGGGGTGCTTGGCCCAATTCCCCCCGCACACCGGGAACCTGGGCTAGGGCCCTAAGCCACCCCACCACCGCCCACCATGTGCCTCGCTCCTGTCCCCACGCTCTCCTCTCTCAACTTCACAGCCCCAGCCGTCCCTGTCCCTGTTACCTGTCCCCCCTCAGCCTCCCGCACCTCATCTCCATCCTTGTCTCCTCTTTACATTTCTAAACGGGGAAGAAAGCAGGCTGGGCAGGCAGCCCATGCCCCTGGAGATCAATCCCCTCTCCCTTTCTTCCTTCCAACTCTTGCCACTTGCAACTGGCCCGATTTCATTACCAATTTTAATTTGCCTCTAATTAAATCCTGTGTATTTTTCTGACTCGCTTGCTAATCCACGAGGGAGGCGGGCGGCTGGAGTGGAATCTCTCGGAGCGATAATTACAAAGGGCCTAATCACGCCGGGGCTCCTGCCTTGGAATAAATTTGCCCGCATTACGGGGCTCCGATCCTCTGCTTTGCAAATGAGAATGACCCCAATTTCCGAGGATGGCCTCACTGGGGCTTTTTTCCCTCATTTCGAAGCCTGATTCGTGATGAGAGACTAATTCGTTACGCTGAAACATTAACGGCAATTTAAGGGGTCTGGCAGGGGCTGCGTAAACAAAAGGACAGGCCCACAACATGGGCCCTGGGAGGGGACAGACATGGGGGGAGGGCTGGCGAGTACCATCAGCTTGGCAGATGGCAGCTCTGTCCCCGGATGAACGGCAGCTGGCCTGGCCCACGCCAGCTCCCAACCCTTCCGCCCTGGTCTGAAGTGGACAGCATCCCAGGGTGGGGGCCCAAGAGAGTAAAAAGGAGGAGGAAGGAAAGGAAGCTGAAATAGTTGAGGAGAAGAGGAGGGACCTCAAGGGGCAGATAAACGGGTCGGAAGTGGGGGTGGAAAGAAAATAGAATTGGGAGTAGACAGGGTGCATTTCCCAAGTGATGTGAATGGAAGCTTGGCGGCAAAAAATCCTGAAGGTCAGAGTGGACCGCAAGCTGAGGTGGATTCTGCTGGGCCACAGGGAGGGCGCAGGCAGTGCCCCCAGTGGCAGAAGCAGCAGCAGAGCATGGTTAAATGGGAAGGTCACTCAATGAGCTGGCTGCTTGCTGGGACCTAGACTAGGGGAGGGGAGATGGAGGTGAAGACCTGGGAGGGAGACACGCCGCTGAGATGACCAAGGCTGGGCCACCAGTCGAAGGTGGTATGAAGGCCCAAGGGGGCTGGGCTACAGGAGAGGTGGCTTCATGATGGTCATCGAGGGGTTTAAGAAAGTCACCTAAACTAGCTCCTCCCGACCTCAAGAACGGAGAGAAGTCGAGATTGTAGAGGGTGATGCAGTTAAGAGAGAACAAGAAAGGAGGGTAGGTGGATGAGAGGCACTCTGCCCCCAACGAGGAGGTTGTCTAGGGCAGTGAGGCTCCACACTGACTCCCCTAAAGGTAGAGGATTAATATACAATATTAAAGTAAACATTACATAACAATTGTAATGATCCCTAAAGTTTGTACAGGACTCTATCATTTATGAAACGTGGTATCCAAACTGGCCTACAGGTTGGAGACTGAACCAGGTGGCTCCAAGAAGGCCCTGATGGCTCAGAGAGAGGGCAGGACTGTGGTTGGCAGGAAATGACATCACTCGCAGCCAATCACAGCAGCTGTCCCAGCCTTGCAGCCTCTTTGCCAAGCTTTGGGAATTGGGCACGGGGATACAGAAGGCCACGGAGCAGTCTCTCCTGCTGCACTTAGCACAGAGAAGGCAGAGAAGGCTGGGCCCTGTACAGACCCCACCTTGTCCTGGTCACTGGTAGGGAGGGGGCCCTAGTGACACTTGTTGAAACCTGGTGGGATCGGGGAGGTAGGCTGTTTAACTGCAGCTTCTGCACTGGCCAGCAGAGGGACTCAAGAGCCAGGGATCCAACTCAGGTCCTGAGATGTGGGGGACTCCTTCCCGGGTGTCCATCCTTTCCCACAGGGTACCGACACTCCCTTCTCCTTCCCCTCACCCCCTCCCACCCTGCTGCACAGAACCTAATATTCTCACCCATCAGAGAGCCAGACTCATACCCCCCATGCTGGCTCTAGAAAAACAAATGGCTTAGCGTCCCAGCCCACAACTCTTGTGTCCCATTTTCCTAGGTTCCCTCCCTTGTCTGTTTCTGATCCCCCAGGAAAACTCTTATGGCTGAAGGTGTTAAAATGACTAATTGGATGAAGACAATTATCTTCCTGCTACTGATGGCAGAGCTGGGGAGTGTGAGCGTTTGTGTTTGTGCCCCAGTGTATTACAGTCCAGGTTCTCGGTCCCCACGTGTCCAGGCCTGCGAGGCCCCTCCGTCCACCCATCCTGGGCTTCAGAGCATGCGCCTTTAGCCGAGGACTCTGAACCCTGTGGGTCTCCTGTGAATGTAACCCAGGCCTCCCTACCAGGCTCAGGCGCTACCGACTCCCGCAGGCCTTACTTCAGGGAGCTGGGGTTTTTGGGCCCATGCAGGGAGCGCTCCAGAGAAGTGGAGGTGGAGGTGGAGGGGTCCAGGGCCTAGCCTGGGGCCTGGTAGGGCCACTTCTATAGAACTGCCACCCCGAGGGGACTGTTAGGTAGCCTTGGTCTCAAAGGGATCTGGAGATGTCCAAGGCCGCCTGGGGCCCTGGCAAGGAGGAACGGGCATGCCTCACCTTCCAGGTGGCCGTGTTTCTCCGGAAATAGGCGAACATCCTGGTGAACCAGTTATAGATCTCATTCAGGGTCAGCTGCCTGTCGGGGGTTTCCAGGATGGCCTGTGGACAAGGAAGAAGTACAGGGACCCTCAGTCTGGGCCTGCAAGGGCCACAGGCCTGTGTGCTCTGCCCCAGCTCCCCTCAGCCTGGCCCCTAACTCATCTGAGAGCAGAGGAGACCCGCTGCGGAAGCATGTGGACAAGACCGGGGGTGCTTGATGGTCCCCTGAGAGGGGCAGGCTGGTTACAGCCCAGCCAGAGGCTAAAAGGAACACGAGCCTCGAGGGCCGTGCACTTGTGCGAGGAGCACGTGAACTTCTGCTGCAGGGAAAATGGCTCCAAGGGCCCCTGCCCTAGACTGGGAAGGAAAGCAGTATTCTTGGGAGAAAGAGGTCCGGGGGTGGGGGCTGTTTGGAATTTATCCTGGTTTTTGTAAAGGGCACCCTCAACATGAGATGGCGTGTGGATGTGTCTGTGTGTGTGTGTGTGTGTGTGTGTGTGTGTGTGCATCTGAGAGAGACAGAGAAAAGGAGACAGACTACAAGTGACCATAAGTCTATCAGAAAATTGTCTCATGGGAGTGTGTGTACGTGGAAATGAGGGTATGGATGACACAGGGGGTGTAAGTGGCATCAACAGTGTGTGTGCTCCCACAGACAGGCCTGAGTGACCAGCAGGATGGCTCAGCCGAAGCCCATGTGAGGGGCCGTCTGGCTGAGAAGGAAAACGCAGGTGTGAGTGGGAGAGGACAAGTGTGAGATGGAAAGTTACGTTCTCTGGTCCCGGGACCCTGAGGGAGGGGTGCAGACTGTGTGCCTCCCCCCACCCCACCCCCCGGACTCCGTCTACCTTCCCACACTCACCTGGCGGATGAGGGAGGCGTAAGTGAAGGGGGGCCGGACGTCGGCGTTCTTGTAGAACTCATGATTCTGGGCCAGCTCTGGGGGAGACAGGCAGAGGCTGAGGTAGCCAGAAGGGGGGTCCAGCTTGGGGAAAGACATCCCTCCCCACGGCCCTTACCTGAGGAGATGGGGGAGCAGAACTTGTCGCTGGTTCTCCGCCGGGCGGGTCCCCCACTGTGCAGGGAGGCAGAGCCGAGGCCAGGGGGCCGTAGGGGGGTGACAGGGGCAGCGGCCGAGGTGGGGGGGTGTACAAGACCATCTGGGAACGAGTCCGCTGCGGAGACGGTCACCTTGGAGAATGAGGAGGAGCCGGGGACTGGGTTCAGCTGTGAGCAACGGGGAGGGTGCTGAGGCCAGTGCCAACAGGATGGGGGTCCCGGGCGGGGGGGGGGGGGGGGTCTTGGGGGGGGGCGGGGGGGGGGGGGGGGGCGCGGGGGTGGGGCCGGGGGGGGGGGGGGGGGGGGGGGGGGGCAGTCGGGCCCTCCTCCTCCACATACCAAGCCCGTCACCACCATGCGCCCCCGCCCTTGGTACCCCAGCTCCCTCCGTCCCTTGCTCCTGGAAGACCTCGGCTTTTCCCTGCCCCTCTGGCCCCTCACACCCGCAAAGCCAGGACTGGGGGCTGCAGGCTCCATGAAGCCCTCCCCGCTTCTCCAGTCTGTGTGTCCCCAGCCTAGACCCCCGCACAGCCACTGCACTCTGGGGGGCCTTCTTCCCAACAGCACACGCCTTTCCTCCCCATCGAGAGCAGAGGCTGTGGCTGAACAACACCCAAGTTCAGTGGCACTTGTGTGTGAGAGTGCCCTCACACACTGAATGGAGATGCAGGAATGGATGAATGATTCATTCACCCCTATTCATAAATTCAATAGATCTTTTACAACCACCCTCTCGCGCAGGGAGCTCTGCGAGGTGCCAGAGGGACATGGGTAAATATTGATTGACTGCCTGATGGACTGTCCTGAGTAGCCTCCTGAGTATTCCGTGCTGCAGAGTGTAGACTCCAGAGCCAGACTGCCCCGGTTCCAATCCCAGCTCTGCCACCCACTGGCTGAGTGATCAGAGGCAAGTTACTTCACCTCTCTATGCCTCTGTTTTCTGTATCTGTAAATTGGGCATAATAATGGTAGCTACCAACCATATAAGGTTGTTCAGAGGATCCCTTGCGTCACATAGGTATTTAGTAGAGCACGTAAGGGCTCAGTATGTTAGCTATGCATACCATTTTTGTTGTTTGTGTTAGTATGAGTCTCTTCGGGACCTCGCATCAGAGAGGCCCCCAACCCTGGTTTCCCCCTCAGAATCGGACTGCCCTCACCTTACAACCATGGTAACGAGGACCTAGAAAGCATGAGATGACCCTTCCATGAGACCCCCTAAATCCCTCCTGGAAAGTGAGTGCTGGGGGTGAGGCGGGGGGGGGAGCCCCCCACGCCCCTCTCCCGCAGCCTGAGGCCACACCTGGATCTCCAGCTGCTGTACCACCTGCATCTGCACGCGGCACTGGGCTGTGCTCCGGTCGTCCAGGGCGTGCTCGGTGTTGAGGTGTCTTCCGGGGGAGGAGGGGGTGGAGAAGAGAAAGTTGGCCCTGGTTCTGCTGCCACCACCCACCCCATCCCACCCTGTAATCCCGCCCACAGGCTGGAAAGCAGACAGACCAAGAGACACAAAGAAGGGAAAGGGATGGGGAAAAAAACAAAAACAAAAACGGGGCATTGGAGGAAGCCGCCTTCTCGTCAGCCTCCTTTTGATGTCTTTGCTAAAACCCCAGCTACACAGAGATCTAACTGCAAATGAACTAATTAAGTAAACCTCTGACGAAGCGTGAAAACAATTTGTTTGACCCTGATGCTGCAAGGGTCTGGGAGACAGCGGAGCTAATCGGTCAGTGACAGAGCCTGGCACGGCTATGGCAGCTGGCTGCCTGCTGCCAGCCGCCTGTCCGCCAGGCCCGAAGGCCGTCACTAGGCCGTCGCTCTCCGGGGCTGGGGCTGGGGGAAGCCGGGGAGGGCCGTGCGGGAAGTCTCCTTCTCCTCACACCCCCAACCTGCTGGGCTCAGCCTGGGGTTGGGGTGGGGAGGCTGCTGGCCCAGGAAATACAGACCGCAGATGGGGTAGGAGTGACCGGGGAGTTGATGGGGGGCAGAGAAGGAACGAGGCCCCCCCCCCCGCTGGGGTGAGGATGGCAGGACAGCTGGTGGCTGAAGGCGCAAGAAGTGACAAGCTAGGTGGCAGGCTGGGGGATGAGGGGCCCTGTTGGGGGGGGCAGGCTGGGGGGCAAAGGAGAGTGGGGCTGACACCTACTTGATAAACTGGCCCAGGTCTTCACACAGGGTCTCACAGCCTGGCCACTTGCACTCTCCGTGTCCGTAGAGGGGGTGGGAGCCGGGCGTCTCCTCGTGGGAGGAGCTGGGAGGGCAGGAGGGAGATGGTGGTCAGGGACCCTGAAGACCCCGGCAGCCCTGGGTCCCGCCCAGCCCCAGCTCCCCTACTGATGACGTTTCTGTCCCTAATACAGGTTCCCCAGAGGCCAGGCACAGTTGTGCGTGCCCCGGGAGAGGCAAACCTGCCCATCCCTGAGCTCCACAACCCCACCCCAGCCTCTACCACAGGTGCCAGCCCTCAGGGTCAAGGCCAGTCCCCGGGCAGGTCTGCAGCACCTCCTCCCAGCCGGAGGCCCATACCTGTCTCTCCGAGGTGTGAGCACAGTGGGCTGTCCGTTGGGCAGGGTGTGGTGGGAGAGGGGGGGTGAGACTTTGGGGGGGGCAGCGAACGAGGTAGCGGTGGTGGCCGTGCCGGTGAGGTCCAGCCCCTCCTGCTTAACGCTGTCCTCGGCGGGCTGCCCGGGGGCACCCTCACCCTTCCACAGCTGGGGCAGGTCCGTCGGGCACACGGCTGCGATGGGAGGGAGAGAGAGGGGAGGCTGGCCGGGCCCCAGGAACGCATGGGGCCCCCACCTCACTCCCGGGAGCAGGGGCTGCCAGCCCGCGGGGACAGCGAGGGCGTGGGGCTGGGGCTGGCTGAGGGGCGGGCACTCACCTTGTGGGAGGGTCTGGAGGGGCCCCGAGGCTTGGCTGGGCTGCAGGCTGACCAGCCCCTGTCTCTGCAGGTTGAGCAGGTGCTGTTGCTGCAGCTGTTGCATTTGCAGGAGCTGTTGCTGGAAGGCCAGCTGCTTGCTCCCCAGGGCCTGGTGGGGGGCCCGAGGGGGCGGGCAGAGAGGGGTGCCATCAGCCTCAGGCGTGCCATCTGGCCCCCACCCTGCGGCCACCCCCTCCCAGGGCCTGTCGGCCCCCGGAGCTGTCGTGGTGTCCGCAGCTGCAGCCTCCCTGCTCCCGGCCCAGCTTCCATAGGGCTGCATGCCTCCTCGCAGGGAACACGCACGCGCGCACACACACACACACACGCACGCACGCGCGCACACACACACACACACACACGCACGCACGCGCGCAAACACGCACGGCCAGACCCAGACACGCAGCACGACGCCCTCCCCGCTCCCGCCTCCCTCCTTCCGCTGCTTCGGCTCCCGCACCACAGCTGTGCTCGCCTGGGGGGCGCGGGGGGCTCTCATCACAATGATGGATGAGCCTGTCAGATTCCAGGGGCCACTCCCGCCTGGCGGGCACCCTTCCCACATGCCCGGGGTGCCCCCCTTCCGCTCTGAGGAGGGGGCCTTCTCCCCTCCAGCTCCTCTCCTCTCTTGCTTCTTAGATACAGAGAATCAAGGCGTCTGACGGGACTTTCAAAGATCAGCATCGACAGGTCATCAGGACCCAGGCTAGGGAACAGTCACATCACTGCTGCCCAGGTGCCCGCCGCCTGCCCGCACTTGCTCACTCTGCTCTTAGTGGCTCCCTCTCTCCTGCTCTGGCCCTGCTCCCCCCGCCCCCCCCACCCCCAGATTCAGTACTTCACACAAGCACTGACAGTCAGTCTGTCAGCAAGCCTTTTCTGAGCCCCAAGAGCCGAGCCTGTCCCGGGCTCTGGAGGCAGGGATGGCTCAGCCCACCTGCCCTGGAGGTGGGGTGGTGGGCTGGCTATTCAGCCTAGAGACAATGCAGAGAAGGAAGCAAAGAGGAGACCTTTGAGGGGGAGGCTGAGGGCGGGAGGGAATGACTGGGTGTCAGCAGGGCAGCCTCCTGGGAAGAGGCAACTCGAACTTGGCTGTGGTTTGGCCAGCAGGAGGGAAGTGTGTGTCTGGGACACGGGGTGGGGGGCACTGCAGGGCCTGGTATGGAAGCTCAGAAGGCACTGTGGCCCAGATGGGGCAGGGGGTGCAGGCTGGGGAGTTCTCTGGAGATGCAGGGCAGGATGTTACAAGAAGCAACAGAAGTTGGGGCAGGGCTGAGGGGAGGGACTGAAAGATTTTCAGAACCAGGCTAGAGGGCTGAGGTGCTGGGTCACTAACAGACAAGCAGGCAGGAAGAGGGCATGACCACGAGGCAGCCGGTCATGAGTGCGGACCATCCAACACTCACATACCCGTCTACGCGTATGTGCTCAGATAACACAGGGCTCAGCCCTTCTGCTCTCCTAATCCAACAACACAGAGCGAGGAGAGGAGGACTGAACGGGGTTGAAGGGAGGTGGTGGAACGTGGGCCTCCATCCCCCCATCCGGTCCCCCAGCCTTTCCTGGTTTTTCTACTATCCCCACAAGACCATTCTGTCCTGACCACTTCGGGACTCCCAGCCCCTGGCTAGGAGAGGGCTGGCGCTGCAGGTGAGGGGCGGGGGTCCTCTGAGGGGGCACATCCGGCCCTGCCCGAGCCCCTTACCTCTTTGGGTTGCTGCTTCCCAGCCTGCTGCTGCGTGAGGAGTTGTAAGTGGAGCTGCTCTTGCTGCTTCTTGTAATATTCCTGCAGCTGGGGGTCGACAGCAGGGTGGGAGTGGGTTAGCACAGGCGGGGGACTGCTGACCCCAAAGCAACGGCCAACCCTCTCGTGACTGGGCCGCTGTGAAACAGATGGTCCAGCAGGGAGATGTCTGCTCCGAGAGAGGCTCTCCCAGAGCAGAGCCTGGACGGAGAGGGAACGGAGAGGGGAGAGGGGAGCCTCCCCGCACAGCGCCGAGCCCTCCCCCTCCCTTGGTGGGTGAGGATGAAGTGCCAGCATGTTCTCTGTCCTTCCCTGGGGTTTGGAGATACAGGTGGGGCGCTGTGAGGCCGTATGGGGGTGTGTGGGAGTCTGCTCTGGGAGAGGCCCGACCTCTGACCCCTCCCCAGCTATCCTGGAGGAATGCAGGTCAGTCCTGCGGAGCGGTCTCTCTGGTTTCCGCCACTGCTTTGGCCTTTGGTGACGTTGGTAGTAAACAGGGTGGGAGTGGGGAGGCCAGTGCCTGGAACACCTCACCCTCCTCTCCCTGACCTCCCGGGCGGCCCCCGGGGACCAGACTCACCTGCTGCAGCATGAGCGCCTGCTGCTGCTGGAGCAAGGCCTGCAGCTGTGGGGGCGACAGGATCTGCTGCATCTGCTGGGGGGTGAGCATCTGCGGCGACATCATGGCCACCGACACGGGCACCTGTGAGATTCGGCCGCGTCAGCCCCTCACCTCCGCCCCACCCCGGGGAGGGTCCGCGCCCAAGCCCCTGCCCACAGCAGGGCAGAGCAGCTCCACAGTGAGCTGCCTGGGCTCACATTCTGGCTCTGCCACCTGCTAGCTGTGCGTCTCTGGACAAGTGACTCACCTCCCTTGTTCTTGGTTTTCTCGTCTCTGAAATGGAAGTAGCGATAGTGCCTGCCTCTTAAGGTCATTACGAGGGCTAATGAGTTAGTACTTAGAACAGAGCCTGCAGGCGGTTGGACATTATTGCAGGATGTGCTGTCTTTGGTGCACGAAGATTAGACCCCAGCGACACTGGTTAGTAGAATCCATGCTTCGTAGGGTTTCTCCCCCAGTGATGGGGAGGGGCAGCACCTAGCCACTGCTGACTCCAGCTCAGTCCGTTCTGAGAACACGACCTACAAGGTGGGCCTGGCCAGGAGGGCAGCCTGCAGCCATGGATGGGAAGGTTTCAAACTGTAGCCCACATGGCATGAGGACCTGGACTTTGGCCCCTCTCACATGCGTGTCACGTACTACAGCACACCTGTCTAGACGGCACACACAGTGACCGGGAGCTGACGCCCAGGGAGCACCGTGAGGGCCACCCCGTGTGAGTGTGTACGTGTAATCACCTAACTAGGTCCCAGTGGGGTGGAAAGAACGCCATGCAGAGACGCGGGGAGAGGCAGGCTGCTCCTCCTCGCTCTGCAATGAACCTGCCAAGTGACCTCCAGCCATTCACTGGCTGTCTCTGGGGTGTCAGTTTCCTCCACCATAAAACAGAGATGCCTCCTTCCAGCTGGAACTTGCAGCATTCTCATAGTAGGGGAGCTTTCTGCCCCCTGCCCTGGGTGAGGCCTCTATAGGAGGCCCAGAGAATCTAGCTACAGGCAAAAGGTTCAGGGAAAAGCAGTATCATCATTCTTTTCCCAGTTCCCACCTCCCCTGAAACCCCTAGCCTGTGCAGTCATAGCCTGGGTAGCCCAAGCTGCAGCACTGCCTTGATGCCCTGTTTTAGCAGGACAGGTGTCCTGGCACGGCAATCGGCCACCCCCATCGCACTTCAAGCTCCATGTGCACAAGTCTCTAATCTCCCGTCTCACTCCCCAGCCCTAGCAGAGCTGGCACATGGCAGGCACTCACTAAGCGTGTGCTCCCCCGAGTTGAGTTACCTTCTTGGCAGATCAACCCTGGGGCAGGGAGGGAGGGGTGCTGGTGGGCCAGTCCAGGGGGAGTGTCTCGCAGAGACTTGTCCTGGTCAGGACAGCACAGGTTGTGTCCCCAGTGGATTCCTGGGCCCTTTCACCTTCCCCCAGCCCCACAGGTGGGGCAGAAGAGGAGGAGTTGGTTCCATTCAGGATCCCTGGCAGGGGCAAGGCTCAGCCTCAAGCCACCAGTGAGGGCATCCCCAGGCAGAGGAGCAACGGGGGGATGTGCAGTGGCTCCAGGGACATCGGTAAGTCTCACTGCCCCCACCTCTTCTTGCGCCCCCTTCACTAGTGGCTGAGCCCCAGCCCTGGGCTCCCCTCCTTTACTGCAGCCATCTCTGTGCAAACATCCCTGGAAGGGGCACCTAGCTTTTTAGCCACGGCCACACCGTGTGAACGAAGCCTCTGAGGGGCCTCTAACGACGAGCCTTAAGCGGCAGCGTTGGGACTCATGTGCAGGTCTGTATGCTCTGCAGTTCCCTATGTTCCCACATCCCACACCGCCTGTCTCCCCGCCGCTCAGAGCAGGTCTTGAGGAGGGTTAGGAGAGTGTGTGGAAATGGAACCATCCAGGGAGCTCAAGGGTTCGATGAGGCTAGAGATCCCAAAGGCCAACCTCTCTCTTTACAACTGTCTCCTGGGGAGGCTCGGGAAAGCCAGGCTGCAGGGCTCTTCTGGTTCCCACTCTCGGAGGGGCAGGCCATGGCACACATCCAGCCCCCCCTTGCAGAGCCAGCCTGTATCCTTTGCTGGGTGCCCCCGAGGCAGCTGCATACCTGTCCTTTGACACGGGGGCCCCCAACATGGTGGAGCTCAGAGCCCTGGATTTCTGAGTCAGATGACCCAGGTTCTTGTCCCTGACACTGACTATCCTTTGAAATCGCCAAGCCTCACTTTCTGCATCTGCTAACTGGGCTTTGGCACAGCTGCCCTCCCCGCTTCACAGGACTGCTCAAGATGATGGTGGTGGTGGCTGACTACATGCCAGGCGTGCCAGGTGCTTGGCTAAGCCCTTTACGTGTATTATCTCCCCGAATCCTCACAGCAGCCCTGGGAGGAGGGTACCATCATCGTCACCATTTTAGAGGTGAGAAAACCGAGGCCTAGAGGGACAGTGGGGGAAGAAGTAAGTGAAAGTGATTTGTATGGCCATGAAATTCTACAGAAATGTAAAGAAAATTACTTTTTAAAACATTCTGGATTTTCCTTTCCCCTTCTTTCCCTCCCCTCCTCCACGAGTGCACCTTAGGCGCGCCAGGGCCCCAACGTTCAGGCCCCAGGGCCATTACGTGGCAAGGGTCACTTTGGGCAAAAGCTCTGGGCCTCCCATGCTCACGGCTGTGAGAACTGAACTAGAGGAGATGGACAGGGCCCCCAGCCGAGGAGACTGAGCCTAGACACCCAGGAGGTCTTTCCAGGCACCAGGGGTGTGAGTCACTGCGAGTGGCCTGCAGGAAAGGATGTGGTATTTCCTTCCTTGGGGCTTTCCTACTTGGAGGCAGGGGAATGGAAGAGATGACCTTGGAAGGCCTCCCCGGCCCCTGCTGTTCCTGCCAGTTGGCTGAGCCGCAGGCTGGAGAGGCGGCTGCGGTAATCTGGATGGATTACCTTGTGTGTACTTGTCTTGAAGGTGGCCCAGCAGGGTCAAGAAAGGTCAGTGAGGTGGCAGCTGCCTGCTATCTCCTGAGCTGGCTGAGCCCATCCCTTCCCCTCACATCCCTTGGGGGTTCTGAGGAGTGAGCTGGAGCTCCCCTGGTGTCCCCACTGACCCCTCAACAGGCTGGGATGTGTCAGGATGGGCACCGTCAGCTAGTCAGCCCAGCAAGGCCCGTGAGTCACCATCTGGAGGGCGGCCAGGGCAGCTAAATGCTTACAAAAGCCCTGGCAGTGTGAGCCCCGGGCAAAATGCCGACAGCTGCCTCCAGCCCCTCCCTCGGGGACCCTGCTCAGGCCTGGAGCCCTCCGACCACCATGTAAATCACCGTGGGGCAGACACTAGGTCATTTACAAAATCATCTCGTTTTTTCCTCACCATCCTAGGGGACAGGTGCTGTTATTAGCCCCATTTTGCAGATGGGGCAACTCAGGCTAAGGTTAAGAAACTTGTCCAAAGTCACACAGCTGAGAAGGGGCAGAGCCAGGATTTTAACCCAAACAACCAGCTCCAGAACTCACACCTTCCTGCATACACTGTGATGCTGCCGCGTGCTTAGCATAGCAGCGAACCGCAGTCCCCAGTACAGGGCCCTGGCCCGATGGTTCTCTGGGCTTGCGGAGACGGGGGTTCTTGGGGCCATGTCTGAACTTCTCCAGGAGCCTGGAGCCCCAACCCTGGATACCTTCCTTGCCTCTCATCCCCACCCTCAGGTTCATAATCTCCAAGGAAGTGGGGCTTCTGACCCCGCATGGGGTCCAGGGCCTAGAAATAGCTTTTCTAAGAACTCAAGGCTGGTGGTGGGAGAGGGGAGAGCATATTTTGTTGATCTGGGGCCTGAATCAAGTGGGTAATGCAGATCCATGGCAGCCTCTTTCCCAGTGGTCCCCAACTCAAGGCAGGATTGCCTGCCCACTCACCTCCCAGCCATGTTCACCACCCCTCTCTTAGAGCCAGCTTCAGAAGAGTTTCTAAAACCATATTGGGTCTCCAGCTCCAGCCTGGAGACTGCCTGGTTTGTCCCTGCGCCTGGGCCCCAGGCAGGGAGAGCACAGTCACAGAAGGCAGCATGGGTAGCTGGGAGTTTGGGCAGAAGGTTGGCTAGGGCAGGCCCCTTAGCTGTGCCCAGTCTTCGTCTCATCTTCTCAGCCCCCTTGCCATTTCTAGAAGTTCTTCTTGGTGTCTCACCATGATCTTTCTTGCTGCAGCTCCAGCCAGGACTGAGGACTACCTTCTGGTCATTTGCAAGGGAGTTGAACCTAAACTAAGCTCTGGCCTAGTCTCCCCACACACCCAGGGACCCCGATCCCCATACTTAAGAGGTTGAGTTTGGGTCCTTGATTCTGGCACCAAATTGTATCCATCCCAACCCTCAGCCTCGAAATAAGCTTCCTCCGTGTCAGGTACCATCCCTGCTCCTCCCAGCCCATCATACATGGTAAGCGCTCTGCAAATGTTGTCAGTTTAGGAAGTACTGAGTAAGTGTTTGTTGAGCGACCCCTCTCGTTTTTTGGGGGTGGGGGTGATCTCCGAAGGAAGATTCCACAGCCTCCTTTCCTTTCTTAATTATTTCAGATCCTACTCTTCTTACCCTGCTGCAAAGTCCTTCTTGATGTCTGACCTCAGTCCCTCCAACCACCATCCAGCTCCCTCCCTCTTACTTGGGTCTGGAGACCCTCTCTGGGTTGGGGAACATTCCTACTGTTCCCCAGCCTACCCTTCCCTGTTCTTAGAAGCGGGTACTAGGCTGGGCCCAGGGTAGAAAATTCAGAACAGATTCAGAACAGTAGCCCGAGGGCCACTTCAGACCCAGGGAGTATATGGGGGGCTCCCGAATTCAAAGAGACCCAGTCCTGACACTACGGGGGCATGAGAACCTACTACCTCATTCCCGTTAGTGGCTTATCCGAACTGTCCTCCCCTTCCCCGCCCAGGCCACTACCCCTCTTTGCCCAACTCCTCCCCCTGAGGGCTGTCTCATTAGGTTGGAGACTTTTAAAAGAGGGTCACTGCTCAGGCCCCACAACTGTCCTGTCCAGCACCTTCAACTTCTTGAAAGTACTTTCGGAATGTAAGCTTGTTTCACAGAAAACCCAGATATGCCCTTGGAGCCACAGAGCACTGGAATCTGCCCCAGGACAAACCCAGTCCCGGGTCCTTCTCCGACCACCCTGTACCCCCTCCCTGCCCTGCTCCTCTCGTCCCCCCACTCCCTCAGCACCCCACCCTTCAGGCTTCAGCGCTTTGCGGATCGGATCGTGCTCACCCTTCCTCCCTTAGATAAACTTCCTTCCAAAGCCCCGCTTAGTCCCCTCCCCAGTTTGGAGCCACCACCCCTCTCCCCCCGCCCCTCCCCAAGAGGGGTGGGGAGGGCGAGGAAGCCCGGCTGTGGGGGGTGGGAGGGGGAGGGGAGCCAGGGAGGGAGGGGAGCTAGGGGGAGGGGAGCGGGCTGCCCGTGGAGCTGTGACCCACCCCGACTCAGACGGCAATTCTCCCAAGTTCTTTGTGACACAAAAGGTAAACAGAAGGCCTGGCTTACCCCCCGCCCCCAACCCCATCTCCCCTCCCCTCCCACAGCCAGCCAGATGGGCCGGCACGCTGCGGGGAAGGGAGAGGGGGACAAAAAGGGCAGACTGTGCAAAGGAAAACAAAAGAGACACAGAGACATCAAGAGACAGGAAACGTGGGGAGACAGAGAGAGCTGGTGGGTGAGAGACGAGGAGGTGGGGGGAGGGCATGGTGGCCTCAGCAAGTGAGACAGCCTGGGAGGGGAGCAGAGAGGGACGGGCCCAGTGACCCAGAAGTGCCAGGGAGAGACCCTGGGTGCAGAGCCAGGGAAGAGGAGGCAGGCAGACAGGTACAGAGACAGAGGGCTCAGGCAGACTCAAACGCTGAGCGACAGACGTGAGGCTTGGTAGAGGAAGGGCTGGGCGGTCAGGTGCAGATGAGAAGGTGGCGTTTCTTCACCTGCCCCTGCAGTGACTGCAATCCCCTCTGGAAAGCCGCCCCCTCTCTGGCACTGGGGATGGGGCCAGAGCAATTCTCCAGCCGGTCCTTCCCCACCCTCGGTGCCAAGCCCACCCTCCGACCTGGCCCCAGCCCAGCCCGGTACAGCAGGGCATCCTCCTCACCTGCACGGCAGAGGCCGACTGCTTGCTGTCATTGTTCCCTGGCGAGCTCAGGCCCGAGGCCTGCTGCAGCAGGAACTGCCGGGCCACTTGGAGAGCCTGCAAGACAGGGAGGAATCAGTGCTCCGGCTGCTCCAGTAGACGTGGGAGGGCAAGGGTCAGTGCAGGATCCTGGATTCGGGGAGCGTTTGGAGAGAATAAAGGGGAGGAGGTCAGGGTCATGTAGAAGGTCTTGGGGATGAGTGAGAGGGTCACAGGGTCCACCTGGGCTAGGGGATAAGGATGAAGGTAGGAGTCACTGAGAGAAGCTGCCAGGCTTTGGGGATCAGAACCAGCAAGGACTCACTCTGGGACCTGGTGAGGTTTTGTTGGGACTCAGTGGGGTCAGCAAATGGGTCAGTGGTGAAAACAAGGACCCAGGAGAGAGTACAGTGGGGGACTCAGGTTATTAATAGTAGGTCCAATTTGTCGAGCATCCACTACGTGTCAGGCACGTTACAGGCAAGATGTCATTTCATCCTCTCCCGGGAGGGTGTGAGGTAGGGATTATCAGTCCCATTTTGCACATGAGGAAACTGAAGTTAAGTAATACGCCCAAGGTCACACAGCTAGGAAGCGCCAGGGCCAGGATCTGAGGCCAAGAAGCCTGGCTCCAAGGCCATCTGCCTTACTAGGTGGTCGGTCTGGGGGCTATGGGAGTAGCCTTCACTTGGAGTCAGAGCACACAGTTGGGGGGATGAGGGTGGAGTCTCAGGGTCTGAGCGCTACGTGGCTTTATGAGTCAGGGCAGGAGGTCTGGGAGCAGGGCCTTGTGGCACTGGGGGAATTGGATCAAGTCCTGAAGGGAGTGTGTGAGCTATCAGTGAGTTACACTGACTGTCGTGGTCGGGGCTTGGAGGCCACGGTGGCTCAGACCGGACTCTGAGCCGGTGGGATCATGAGAATGGGAGATGCATGGAGTCTGCAGGAGGAGCCTCTCCGGCCAGGCAGTGGGCCTAGGAGGTGGGCGGACGAGCAGTGAGAGGTTGAGTAGGAGAGGTCAGGCAGGAGACAGAGGCAGGGGATGTGCCTTGGCTGACCTTACAGGAAGTTCTCTGTAAGGTCAGCCAAGCAAGCCCTCCATCCCCGGCCACTCCAGGTCAGTAAGGGGCTCAGAGGCAGGGGATGTGGGGACCTGTCCTGAATCCACATTTCAGGAGCACAAAATATACCCAGGTTCCTCAAAGATCTCCTTGGTGGCCAGAACAGTTGTGTCCAGGCCTTTGACAGGGGGGCCTGGCATCAGGCAGACCTGGGTTTGAAGCCCAGTTGTGCCGCCTACCGGTAGTGTGACCTTGGGCAAGTTATCCCCTATCTTTGTGTTCCAGTCTGCTCTGCAAAACTGGGCTACTACCTAACTCTGAAATACGTGTGGGTGGGGGTGGGGTGTTAAAGGACCAGTGCTTGGCACTTGGTCGGCATTCGAGGAGCAACGGCTTCCTTCCCGTATCCTGAACCTCTCACCTCCTCCAGCCTCTCCCCAGCGCACCTATTAAAAGCAACAGGCCACCTGCGGCTTCCTCACACATCAATCCACACACACTTGTCTGTCCTCACGTGGACTTCCACTCTCCTACCCACTGCGAGCACCACCAAGGCAGACCTATAAGGTGGGACACGGATGCACTCATAGTCCCCCACCCCGCCACTCAGCAAACACTTAGGGGGCGCCCACTGTACACCAAGCATATATACACACCCCCTTCGCTGCCCTTTCATTGAATAGCTGAGCCTCCCTGAGGCTTAAACCTAGTTTACCTTAGGACAGTACCTAAATACACCCTGGTGTTATCTATGGGAGCGTGTCCCAGGGCAGACCTGGCGTCCATATTGGCATGCCCCTCACCAGCGCCCCAGATCCTAGGCCTCTTCCACACCCCTCCTCCCCGGGACCTCACACTGGGAGGAGTGGCCCGGGGTTGCTTCTCTTCAAGATTCACATCAGAAAGTAGAAATCTGACCTGAGTCAAGGGCTCTGAGAGGCTGTGGGAGGAGGTGCAGGGTGAAGAAGGGGAAGGAGGTGGCCAGCTGCTCATCCGGAAGGGGCCCTGCCTCTATGTGCCTCGTTTTTAGGGACCCCCCTACCCAGGTCTAATGACACGGGCTGGACAGATGCTCTCTGTCCTCCAAAGGTAGAGATGGGGTGGAGGGGTCAGAGATCAGGGGGCAAGGTGGGTGAAGAGGATGGCTCAGAGGGGCTGGCAGCCCAGGTGACCCAGAGCGGATGCTGGTCAGGGTGGGGGGAGGAAGCCCCCCCCACCCAATCCCTGGTGGGAAGAGGGGAGCCACAGGGGAGGGTTTTCCAGGGGAAGTTGGAGGGAGTCCCGAGCAGTCTCCTGGTGGGGGGAGTGGCCTGGGGGGCTGGATTCTCTCCCCACTGACTCACTTACTTGGTGGTCCCTTGGAGCATGAAATTACAAGATTTACAGGAAAAAAATGACAGGGCCTTGCAATCTCATTCCTGTGAGACCTCCCTGCGACAGGCCCCACCCCTCCTATCACTCTGAGCCTTTCCCCCCCCCCCCCCCCCGTTAGGCCAGGTGACAGGGGATCAGGTGAGACTCTAGGCCTGGCCAGGTTGTCACCTCCTCTGACCTCCCACCCTTCCCCCCACACTCCTTCCTTCCGTTTCCTACGTGCCAGGGACGGTGCTAGGTGCTGGGGATACAGAGAAACAGAACTTGGCCCTGCCCCAGGGCTCAGGGCCTGTGCTGTGATGAGACGCCCGTCACAGACTGAGGTGGAGATGGACACCAGCACCGGGGCCCAGACGAGGTGGCAACACTGACTGGAGGCTGGAAGGGCAGGCTCACCAAGTGGACAAGAAGGGTGAAGGGTTCAGGGCGTTCCAGGCGCAGCGACCCTCATACCACAGATGACTGAAATAGCCGGTGAGTCTGGGGGCCTGGAAACCACTTGCAGGGACAGAAAATTGAGCTGTGTTGGAGGTCAGTAGCCAGAGAGGCTGGAGAAGCCCAAGGGGTCTGCTCCTCTAGGCACTTCATGCATTCATCCTTCACTCATTCCTTCATTCACTTTCATGGCCACCCACCTCATACTGGCTTGGAGAAGAAGGGGAGGTGACAGTGGGCAGCACACGCTCATTTTCATGGACTTTGCTTACAGCCCGGCCTTGACCCAATTAGGGACTTGGTACCACCTAAAGATCACCCTATAGGTGCCCAGGGGTGAGGGTGATGGGCAGACCCTGGGTTTGGGGCCCAATCTCCCCTCCCCAGATGGCCCGGACATGTCACTGACTGCTCAGTGCCCTGTAATGCTGCGCCATCCCCCACCCCCATCTGGACCCCTAGCCAGGGATGGTGCTCTGGGAGGAGGGGCGGGGGAGGCCCTCTGGCCTGGGATGTCCTCCTCCAGGGTGTTCACCCAAGGGATCAGGTAGGTCTAAGACTTTCTAAAGCCCCGAGTCACAGTCGCCACTCTGGCACACCAGGCATGTGTCTGCACTGCCTGCCGTGGCTGGGGCCTGATACACGGGGTTCAGTTTCTCTTCCTTGTGGGCCAGATACAGCTTTGAGTAGGAAGAGGCATTGAGAATCCCACCGGGGAGAAGGCATGGGGGTGCTCAGGGCAGAATGGGAAATTGGGAGCCATTTGGCCTTTTATACCATATTTTCCTGCTCCCTCCGCCCCTCAGACTGAAAACCAAATGCCCAGCTCTGTGGTTTGGGGAATGAAGTCTAGTTTTCCTCTAAAGGAAGCAGTACTGGTCCATTCAGGGCTCGGACCCTGGTCAAAGGGATCTGGGTCCAAATCCTGGCTCCACCAAATACTGAGTGACCTTGGGTAAGTCACATCACTGCTCTGAGCCTCAGTTTCTTCCTGTGTAAAATGGGAATAACCCTGTAGTCAGCTCACAGGTTTGCTGTGAAGAACACACGTGACAGTGACATGGAGTGCTCAGCACGGCGCTGGCAGTGGGTCCCGGATGGACATTAACTTGTGATTGTGATTACTGATCTTTCACCTTCCCAGGCAGCTCCTGATCATTTGTCCAGTGCCACCCAGAAGGACTTGTTAACCAAGCCCTTTTCCATCTACACCCACCCCCATTCCCCCTCAAGCCTAAGAACTCAGTCTCGCTAATGAAGCCGAACTCTCCTCCCCCAACCGCCCATTCAGAAGTCATTAGCAGGAGCTTCACAATTAGGAACAAATGGCTTATAACGGATGGCATCCAGGGAGGGCGGCAGGGTTGGAGGGGAATGAAGCTAGTGCTTTGAGGGCAACAGGGAGCTGCTATGAAAAGAAAAACAAGTCTTGGGGCAGATGCATCTCTCATCTGCAGGATGAGACTACACCCTCATTTCTGTCTTGGAGAATTTGGGGGAGGACCAGCATCCTCTCTGTGGAGGCCAGGTGCAGGGCTGTTTACTGGTTCTTTCTCCAGGCTGGAGGATTCCAGGTCTGTGTCGGGGTCCCAGCCTTACTCTGTGCGTCTGGGAGGGCGGGGACGTGGTGCTCAGGGAGAGACAAGCACGAAGGGCTGAACTTTGAGAACAGAGAAGCAGAGTCACGCAGGTCACAGACCTGGTGAGCTGGAGTGTTAGAGGGTATCTAGTCTAGTGTTTTCCCAATTGTTGGTCATGAGCTAATGGTAGGTCATACAATATCAATTTAGAAGGTCAAAAAAATAGGAAAAAATACACACACACACACACACACACACACACACACACGAAAACATCAGAGTTACCAGGTAAGCATACGCATTGTTTCGTGAAACTCTTGTGTGCTGCCACTCCAAATAAAAGGCATTTCTTACGGCAGATCTCCAGCAAAAAGGTCTGTGAAACACTTATCTAGTTCACTTTATCGATAAGGAAACGGAGATCCGAAGAGGGGCAGTAAAGCGCCCCAAAGTCACACAGCGGCAGAAGCAGAACCTGAGTCCCCCTGGGCCTGACACGGGGCTCTGCACAGGGATGAGGAGCCAGGAGCTGGGCAGACAGGATGGAGGAACCCCCGCCCCAGCAAACTCTGGTCTAATCCCGATGGTGGTAAAGAGGAACCAAAATAAACAAAACCCAAACTTCTTT